TCCTGGGACGGGCGTTAAGACGCTCCGAGTCGGGGCTCCGCCGCCGCCGGCCCCGCAGCCCTTTTGTCCCTAAAAGCAGGTACCGGAGGGTTGCGGGTGGGAAAGAAAAGGGATAATTGTACCTAATAGAATAGCTGGTACGAGGTACCTGAGGGTACCTGAGGGTACCTGAGAACCCTTTGATCGAGGGGCTCTATTTTTTTATTTTTTCATCAATGAGTTATTTACGCCGGGTGCTTTCATTGACGTGAGATGAAAGCTGCCATGCGCCTTAGTTTTATATAATTCAGGCCGGCTGCTTTTTCTCTTGTTAAGCATGTGAATCGCAACATTTGTTTAAAGCTGGCGATATTGACCATGAATAATATTTAAAAAAGGAACCACCGTGTAAGATAAGCGATGGTAAGTCCAGGCTCTCGGAGAGTTAGGCCACGGCAGCGAGCTCCCGGTGAAGACGTCGCAGGGGTCAGAGCGAAAGACGTTAATACCCGTTTTCATGCCGGCGACCGGAAAGCCTGGGGCAGCGGCCGCGGGGACTTGGCAGGGGACGGAGACGGCTCCCCCCGGGGCAAAGCCCGGTGGCAGCCACGGCCCCTGCGAGGGCGCAAAGCACGCCAGCCACCAAAACTGCGGTTTATGTATAACATCTGTGCAATGCAAAAATTCTACCTATTAATGCAAATACCTGGTTTACATTAGCACTAACAAATTATATATTTTATAAATCAGGTATTAGACGGCAACACAGTATTATCTAGTGTTTTTATATATAACATAGTAAGATACAGCTTATATATACCTCCCTATGTACGGTGTAAGTATATACATACTATACATATGTACTGCATACAGTATATATTAGCTCTATAATTTACATGCATACCTACGAAATATAAAGTGGATGTGCATATTCTAGATATTAGATACTAAAAATATGTAAATATATATTAGAGTTTACATTAAGAGTTCTAAATTACACATATATTTTAGATATATATGTAAATGAGATATATCTAGTTACATGTAGTTATATATATATCTGATGTAACTTAATTCAAGCTATGTCTAATATAGCTGTATTGATTTCTATATAGAGATATCTATATAGAGATATATACAGTATATATCTAGTAGATAGCTAGTATATAGATATATAGCACATAGT